GTATGTATGTATGTATGTATGTATGTATGTATGTATGTATGTATGTACGTACGCATATCAATCTATGTATATACAGTTACAAATCTGATTCTTAGACAAAATGTATTTGGCATGCAAAACTGAGACTCAACCAACACATTTGCCTTGTTCTTTTTCGTTCACATTGTGCATGTGCATGCTTCAGTTTATAAAACCAGCAAAAGCTGTCTGCCCTCAAACAGCTAAATGCATGATCTACGACTTTTCATTGCAGAGTGGAGGTCAAGATGGTGACCCCATTAAGCACCCTTGGGTCAAGCCACGGTCAGTAAAAGGTTTTGTGTGTGTTTTCATAGGAAACTCTATGAATGGTTTATTTATTATTAAGTTTGGAATTTGTTGTGTGCAGGGGAAACACACCATTTGGTATTGACAGCATGCCAGACCTCCGCAAGAGGAGGCCGATTCCTCTTGTTAGTGAACTGGTGAGTGCACACATCAATATTCGCAATATAATCTATGATTGACCTTCACTGAACCTAAATTGTCTCTTTTACTAAAAATTTACAGTCAAACCAAGCTTGAAAATGGGCTTGTAGGAAATGGAAATTATACGCAAATATTGAGTTTGTCATTATCTGATCAACTAACAGCTTTAACATCTTTAACATTTAAGGGCATTGGATAAACTTAGATAAACTAGTCACTAGTTTATCTAAGTTTATCCATGACAGAGCATCCCTCCAGCTGATCCTACAATGACTGTTCTGTAGATTTAGAATTACCAAGGAAACCATAAAAATGATCTGCTGGAGTACAGAATTACTAAGTAAAAGTGTTCCAGGAGCTTTAACAGTTAACTTTCCTCAGGTCTCTTGTCTTTAGAGAGAGAAGTTATTGTACACACAATGTACAATGTACACACACACACACACATGTATTGGCATTTATTTATTCTTCTCACACTGTCATTAACACTTATTTTAGATCTGTATATATATATACATATTGTTACATATGTATATATTTATTTATATTTTGTGTGCCTTGGTGTATATATATATATATATATATACATATGAAGGGCTCAATATGGATGTCATCGTTGGAGGCAGTGTTTTCATATTTAACTTACCTTTTTCTGACTCAATATCAAAATCAAACAATTAATAACTTAATTTATTGTCTTCTTCTTCATTGTTTACTCTTTGCAAATCCAAATCCAGCTTGTAAGCGTGCCCCATAGTAATATCCGTCAATAGCAAGCAAATAACTGATCTAAGAATATGAATGTGAAACTAAGGTAGCAGTGGGCTAGCAGATCTGGAAGATTACTGTTTACAGATCATACCAAATAACTATGAAATATTTAAGGAAACATTACTTAATTATTGTTGGTTCCAGTGATTGAATGACCACAGCCTACTTCAATGCAGAGTGAATATGTATTGCGCAATATACATGAAATCTGGACTCCCAACCCATAAAATGGAGAATGTTACAACATTTGGTGGTTCTTCTCTTTAATATTACTCATTAGCTCATGGTATGCAATTTTCTTTGTGGAGAAATAGGGGAAATAGAGGTTTACTGACTTTCTCCTTTTGTAATCCAAATTAATATTAGTGTCAGTCTCTCATTAAATATTTTTAAATGTATGTTATTACAATTATATCCCAAATGTTGATATTTTTATTTCATCCTGATACCTTTGAGATACCAATGACAAAATTTACACAAAGTGGCAATATCAATGCTTTTTTGTGGTACATCCTACAGTGTTTGAGTATCTCTTTATCATTTCTGTGAACTGCATACTCACTTATTGATTTAATTTTGTTCTAATTAGTTCTAATTACATTACAGTAAATGGCCTGTTTTGTTCCACTGAAAGTTTCACAATGATGTCCACAACGCAGGTGGATACTACATAGATGTGTAAACATATCAATCATTTTATTATCTTTAAGATTGTTTAGATGGGAGCGATTCAGAATTAATTTGCAGAGCAGCACTTACTGCATAATAACTTGTACTGAAAAGTTGGCTAAGGTAGAGATCCTGTTTTTTATATATAACTTTTCATATCCCTTGTTTTTTGTCTTTTTTCATGTTGCCTCCACCCTAATGTCAACCCTTAGGCTATGGTAAGTAAAATTTAAGATTATGGCATTTTATTTTCACCCCGCGTGGAACTGTCTTCTAAATTCAGTTCTGCTAAATATAAGAACGTTTTTTTCATGTGCATACAGCCAACTTTCTGTCATATAATTGATAGTGGGAGAACTAAAGACTTTGGCTTTGAATTACATTTTTTTCTATTTATCGGATAGACAACATATCCAGTTTTTAAAGATATAACATCCATTGCTTTGCAAAAGCAAATGTTGCTTTCTCCCATTATATTTGAGATGCACTCCTGTCTTTGAGTCATAGACATACATTTGTTGGTGATAGTTAAAATAATTTGAACTAAACTTTGTGATAGCACTGATCAGTATCCCATGTGTCAAATGTTGACAGTCAGGTGAGGCATCTCTTCATCTGTGCCTTGTAATTATCAAAATGGAAGAGAAGAAAATATCTCAAGTATTTACTAGTTACTCTATACTTGAGCGATTAGACTTAGATTGATTTAGGATTCTACAAAATATATTGTATTTCAGTCAGGGAATCGGCCATTAATTGAAAATAATCTATGCAATTATGTTTGGCAGAAAAGGCCCTGCTGTTTGAGAGAGATCTCAAATAAGTTATTTGTTCAACAAATTAACCAAGAAAGAGGATGTTCCTTATTCAAGACACATGATCATGGACACCTTTTTAATTAGTTTTACCAAAAATAGCAGTAATTGTAAGTGACACAAAAACATGCAACATTACAGAATTTGTACCAGTCTGCCAATGTAAGAATATAACCACATCTTGTAAGATCTAAATACTCTCTTAATGTGGTTTCTTATAACTTTGTCAGTATAAGTATGTCTGATCCTTGTGCAGTTCTTACTCAATGGCTTGACAGGTGATGTGTTAATATTTCTAATAGCTGTTTGTAAAAAAAAAAAGATATTAAAGACATATTCTGCTTTTTGGAACTCAGATGTCTTTGCCTAATATGCTGAATTATTTTGACAGTGTAATGGATTAACACATTACTGAGGAACTGACCTTATTGTATTCACATAACAACACTAGAACACAATGTGATTTTCTTGTTTCTTGTATGAATTATGAGTCTTCTTTAGTGACTATTTCCATCAAATGTAGTCAGCCAGCTATCAAAACAGGCTTCATTAACTTAATTAGAATAAATTATTCATTTAATTAATTTGCTTTGGTTATGTTTGGACTAAAAAAATATTTGTGTTCCTAAAGTGTTTCACAGTCTCAATACGGTGCATGAATAAACTTTATTTGTAGTTCAGTATTTCCCTCATGAAAGGCTAACACATCCTTTTTAAATGAAAAACAACACATCTAGGCGGACACTATACATGAACTACAGATGTAAACTAAAACAAACTGATATAAAGGCAATACTGTCTGAGTCTAAATTAGTCTGACACTTGACAAAAGCATCCTTATTCACAATATTTCGGGGGGAAAAAACTAGCGCCCTGCTAATACATGCATGATAAGCTAGAGTTGTCTTTTGTGAAAGTTAGTTTAAGAATAAGAAATGTGTATTTTCTTTGTATCAAGTTTCTGCAATCTTCAAAGGAGCCCAGAATTTGTCTTTCCCATTTATTTTTCATTTTGACACATAGGCTTTATCTTTGTGCGGCTATGAATAACGGTTTTTCCCATGTTTTGTTTCTAGACTATGATGCTGTCCAGGAAAGCTGGACTCACTCACACACTAGCCACAAGGGCCTCCTTAAAAGATGAAGAACTTGTAAGTAGTACATGTCTGACATAAAGAAATAGACAATGAAACTGCGATTGTTTTTAGTAACCCAGAGGAATATGTTGTGCACCTCAATGCCAGCTGGGGTTTTCCCTTTCAGTTTTACTCCTTTTTTTTTACATCCCACAGCCTGATTTTGATTCTATTTGCATAACATTCAGTATGCAGTATATAGTGGCTTGCAGGCCTGCTGAGTCAGATTAAGGCAGTTTCTGATATTATGGATCCAAATGCACTAAGATTTGTATGCATGATGATGATGGAATTCTTTGTGTACATTGTGCCATTATTAAATGATGATTAGATTTAAAGAAACATTAATAATTCAATTACTGCACGTAAATCAAGCAATGTACTGAGTAATACTATAAAGTGGTGTAAAATGGGATAAATGTACGATTGAAAAGGTTTTGATTATTTAAGAGTAATTATATTAATTAATTTTCAGTACCTGAATTAAAAAAATAAAAGTATAGCATCTAATAACCTTTTGGTTGCTCAACTCTTATAGTTTGCCGATGCGCAAAAATGGCTCATGTGTAGAGGGAATTTAAATTTCTCCCATCATCCCCTCTGTAACTGTGCAGGGGTAAAGATCTGGCACAATCAGACTCGAAGCAGATATGATAGAGAACATGAGCAGGAAAAATATCATTCCCCCATAAAAATTGTGTTTATTAAATGAAAAAATAATATGTTTTGAAGGTGTTTTGTCATCCTGTGAAGATGAGTTCACCTACTTCTACTTTCCTCCTACACTAGGCCACATTAGAATTTAGTTCATTGGATAGGAGGCCAACAAGGATTTTAGAATAAGCATTACACGTTATCAACTTTCTATGAAATATTTTATGAAGTCAGTTCATAATTACTTCCAGTCTATGTAAAATGCTCATTGAAATATTACTGTGCACAAGATTGCATAATTTAGATTATGAGTCATTAGGATTTTGTTGTTTCATAATTTTGTTTTGTTTGTGTCAAGTAATCATTTTGTCATTATCCTGTAACTGCTATTCATTATTCATGATCATTGGATTTTATTTTATTTCCAGTCATTCTGTTGAATTGTAAAGACATAACAGCTAATATTTCTGTCTCATGCTCTTTACCTCTGATTTCAGTGCCTTTGCCTTTGTTTTTTTCCATTAGAAAAATCATGTATACAAGAAGACCCTGCAGGCTCTCATCTATCCCATCTCCTGCACTACACCCCACAATTTTGAGGTGTGGACTGCCACAACGCCCACATACTGTTACGAGTGTGAGGGTTTGCTGTGGGGCATTGCTCGACAGGGCATGCGTTGTACAGAGTGTGGGGTCAAAGTTCACGAGAAATGTCAAGAATTACTAAATGCTGACTGCCTGCAGAGTGAGTAAAAAATGTTTGATGGCTTGAAATTGACTCCTGATTCAAATAAGAAAATATGTTTGTTGTGTAGTTGTTTGTCTGTTATTGTTGCAATTTATATATTGGTTCCTCTTGTAAAATGGTCTTGCTTTCCCCTAGGAGCAGCTGAGAAGAGTTCCAAGACTGGGGCAGAGGATCGGACGAACCACATTATCATGGCTATGAGGGACAGGATGAAGATCCGTGAGAGAAACAAGCCAGAGATCTTTGAGGAAATACGGAAGTTGTTTGATGTTTCTAAGATGATCCATGCTCAACACATGAAGAGCATTAAGCAGAGTGTCCTAGATGGCACCTCCAAGTGGTCGGCCAAGATCACTATCACAGGTATGTCTTTAGGGTTTTAATTATTGCCATTTTTAAATCATTTATGAAAAGGTCATGTCTTCTTAAAACATGTTAGACACTACTGATTAGCATTCATACACTTTACTGACATAAACAGTAAGATGGGACTTATTTAATTATAGATTTTTTTCTGCTCCCTTATGCCTCTTAATACAGAACCTTAGCTTTTGACATTTAGATTTTTTTGTCTACCAGTCTTTCTGTACTTCCCTCTATCTCTGCACTGTCACTACAGGGCCTGACTAGTGATTTTTATTCTATGTACATTGTCAAGTTGATGCAAATGTTGTGTCTGCATTTTAAGTCGTTTTGGATAAAAGTGTTTGCTAGATGCAAAACATAAACGTAAAAGCACAGACAAAAGCATGTTTGCTTAGCAAATGTTTTAACACTATGATTACATTGCATCTGAGACCTTTTGCATCATTTAATGGTAAAAATTTGCCAAAACCCTGTTGTACACAATCAGATGTACCCAATAACAGTGGGCAAAAGACTACATGACGATAATTACTTACCATTGTTTTTTTTATGGATCAGGCTTTAAAGGGTTAATACATTATCCACCATTTAAAAGGTATTTCCTGCATTTGTAAAGAGCTTTGAATTATATCAAAGTACATTCAAATAAAAAAATTAAATTAGTAAAAAGTTAACATCTGCCAGAGAGTTGGTGCAAATTATTGATGCTGATTTAATATAGTTGTTATAGTCGTTTTTATTATTTACCTTGTCAGCTAAGAGAATTATTTTATGCATGTGTAACAAAAATAATTCTGATCCTGTGATTCTACAATTAATTCATAGTCAGTAACATTACTCAAAGCAGTTTGTTAAGAGGGCAGCTAATCATTTAGGAGTCATTTGATGTGATACAAATAAAAAGGCTTCATGTTACAAACAGTGGAGAACTGTGTAACTGCAGAGGAAAGAGTTTGGATGCACTCTCAAATCCCTGTGCAGTGTCAGAACAGCTTGCATAGCTGTCATCAACACCTCTGTACCTGCAGTTGTGTAATTTATGTAACAGCTTGTTGGTAGGCAAATTAGATATCCCACAGATAAACATCAAAGTGATGTCCATGTATTTCAAGTCTTTTCTTTTAGTTTACCATCTGTTCTGAATTGTAGGGAAGCTTAGAGAGTTCTTCTGCTGGTTTCTCTAATCCAAACTAACCAGCATCCCTAAAACTGTTTCCTTTTACCCCACATTATCAGGACTGCCACAGTTGCCAAAGCAACCAGACAAATCACACCGCATATTGAGAGCTGGGTTGCCATGGCAGCCATCACACCTTGTCTCTTTGATAACTTAGAGGTGAAATCTTTAAGATCGGTGCAATTCAATAATTGTCAAGCTCTAAATGTTGCTATTTATTATTTTTCTGCTGATCTGGTTTAGACCTCATACATTCTCACTCTCATTTGTTAAAAACTAAAACAATCAACCAAAGTAGTCTGCAAATCATTTGAGTTTATGCTCTAGCTCAAAACTGAATTCCTTGTGTGTCGGCTTTGACCATTTGAAATGAAATTCTTGTGTTCGTCATGACTTTAAAAATCTAAATGTTTAGATATCATGCTCATGTACATTTTTTAACTAAGGCAATCTCAACACATTCAACATAATGGATGAAGAGCTATGTCCAAAAGTTCAGACTTTTTATTTTGTCATTTTGTATGAGTCAGGCATATAGTTAAGGATAGTTTGAACTCAAACCCAGTTCTTTTAAGCAGTGATTGACTGGCAAGAGATACTTTTTTGTTGTCAGTTGAAGTCCAAATTTCATTTGAGATGATCTTAACAAATAACTATACAAAGGACCCCTTTGGTCTAATGTTCAGAAATTAGTCACTGTCAGTCACTCTGAAACTGACTAAATCAGTGCAGTAACAGATGTGCATGTGACATATTGTAGAATGTTAAACTGACATCAATCTCAAACATGATTATTTTCCTTGACAAAAAAGACTCCCCTTTTCTTTTGATCAGATATTTCTCCCAAAACCTTGAAGGACTGGTTTCTAACATGCATCAAACCAAGTGTACAGAATCTTTTCAACTCAACATTTATACTGATGACTATGAAATGCAATGTCAATGCTTTGGAAGAGCAGCTTTTGTCACATAGACTGCTCCTGGTGACAATTTTACTGTCTGCCAATGTCATAAGTTTCTTCACTTCAGATAATGACACAGTTCACTTGACACTGTAGTCGATTATTTTGGTACCAGTTTATGGGAAAAGTTAATATATTACCCTAGTTAAGGTCTATAAAGACTTCATATTTGCTACAAATTTCTCTCTTGCTTTCCCACTTAGATTAAAGTGGCAATGAGGAGTTAAGTTTTCCTTTCTTAAATCATCTTTTTGGGACCTATTTCACATATGTTTGCAGGCACAGCACATTATCTCCAAATATCTAAATATCTGCTGCCCCAGTACTGACGTGAAGCCAGGCAGAGCCTTGTATCTAATTTTATCATCATATATTTTGAAAAGGGCTGTTCTGAAATATGTCAAATGAATACAGTTTACAAAAAAAGAAGTTTGATGTAGTCAAACTGCTCTTGTGATGCCAGTGCATTTATTGTAATAATCCCTTAATGTCTGTTAAAACAGTTGAAAAACAGGCCATGCAGTGGCTTCAAATCTCTTTAAGTTATTTTGACCACTTGTTTAACAGATCCCTAGGTAGCTGTAGTTGTTAAAGTAATTATAATGATAAATTCTGTTACCTAGTATTTGCCCATGAGTCACAAATGATGTGTTACGAGCCTTTGCATAACTGTGTGGGTGGTAGCTTGTATTTTGAGTTGTTTGTGAATAGGAAAAGAAGGATGATGATAGAGAGTAGGTGTGTGTTGTTCTTATGCAATTTTCCCTCTGTGTGTCTGTTTTTGTCTTAACAGTCGTCAGTGCACAGGGTCTTCAGGCCAAGGACAGGACAGGCTCCAGCGATCCATATGTCACCATACAAGTAGGCAAGACCAAGAGGAGAACAAAGACCATCTATGGCAACCTGAACCCAGTCTGGGAGGAAAAGTTTAGCTTGTAAGTAGAAATTGTTGTTTTTCTGACTGTAAAGAAGAAAGCTCTCAGAGGTCTGACATCCTAAAGGGAAGTCAGCGTCACTTTCATTATGACTTTTAAATGGGTACTCAAGCTAACCCACTATGCTTGGAAATCCTGCAGAGAAGAGTTGAATATTTATAAAAAATGTTGCCAAATCAAGCTACATGGAGAGTCCTTTGTACTAAGTTTTTGAAGGTTGATAATATATTACTTACCCTATCATTTAATAGGTGATATCCAGGAATGAAGGTGGCTTTTGAATATTACATTTGTTTGTTTTTTAATTGGGCTGCACAGTGTTGTCACGTCGCAGCAAAATGCTGTTGTTTCCTTTAAAGATCATCAGTGCTTTTTAGCAGATTGCTTGATAAAAAGAAAGAGAAGAAATTCCAAATAGTTTCAAACTTTTGTTGAATTTCTTCTCCACAATCTGTTCCCAGTGCCGCAACACATGTTGAAAGAACACCTAATTATCGTATGTCTCCACAGTGAGTGTCACAACTCATCTGATCGTATCAAACTGCGAGTTTGGGATGAGGACGATGACATTAAGTCCCGAGTGAAGCAGCGTCTAAAGAGGGAATCAGATGATTTTCTGGGTCAGAGCATCATTGAGGTTCGAACTCTGAGCGGAGAGATGGACGTTTGGTACAACCTTGGTATGTAAATGCACAGAACCAGGAAAATATGGGAGACATGATGTGTAGGTGGATGATGTTAAAACAGTTTTTCACATCATGCTCATTAGCTGCAGAAGCTCTTAGCTGATATCTTTAGAGTTCAACTGGAGTTAATTTCTAGTATGATTTATGAGTAATTCTTTATGTATGTATTTGTGCTTCCACTAGAAAAGAGAACAGATAAGTCAGCGGTGTCAGGTGCCATTCGCCTTCAGATTAGTGTTGAAATCGAGGGAGAGGAGCAAGTAGCTGCATATCATGTACAGTACACTTGCCTTCATGAGGTAAGACACACAGTGATGAGTTTGTCATTTATGTTCATGTTAGCTTATCAAATTTGTGGATTAGTGGTGAAATGTTTGCAAACATCACAATTTTTAAAGGAGTCATTCATGTGCCCAGAAAAGTCCATATAAGACCAACCAATTGTCATATTTGATCAATATGATCAAACATTTTCTGAATAGTCAATTTCTATGATATTTTTTCTTATTACTTCTCGGGGCTGCTGTTTGCTCTTTTGAGTGCTATTTATGTTTATCTCTGTGTAGAATATGTTTCACTTCTCAACGGATGTGGAGGGAGGTGGTATAGTGAAGATACCATCTGCTCATGGAGACGATGCATGGAAGGTCTTCTTTGACGAATTGCAACAGGAAATTGTGGATGAGTTTGCCATGCGTTACGGTGTTGAGTCGATTTATCAGGCCATGACGTAAGTATGCCTTAAATTTGTGTGTTTACAAAACTGAATATGTAGGCCCTAAGTTAAGTAATTTCATAGATGTGAAAGTGAGAATTAGGATATGCTTCAAATGTAGGTTTATGAGCAGTGTTTGTGGGCCTGTGTGTATGTGAGGCTTTGGCGGTGTTGTCATGAACTATAAACAGCATGCAAATGAGTTTATCCCAACTAATGAAAAGAGATGGCCTGTCACCTCAGAGATTTCCCTGTGCTATGATCAGTTCATTACAGACAAGTAGCTAAAAATCCTCAGTGAGATCATACACACTCACATAGCATGAATTTATTTAATTATATCATTATTTTTATAAAAAAGGTCATTGATAAGGTCTGAGTGTTTTTTTTAATGAGTTGTGTATAGGGCCACACAACTAAAATCCTTTGGTGAACATGCGGCAAGTAGTCAATTTTATTCATTTTATCAATACACACAACTGATTTACATTTTGACCTATGTATGTGCCTGCATTGCAAATAGAAATCAAATATAGTCTCTATTCTAATTTGAGCTTCTGCTTGATCCTGAGAAAAATATCTTTCTAAATGTTCCATGCTGTGTTCAGCTCTAATTGTGTGGGAATTTTCGACTATAATGAGCAGGTGCAGGCCAACAAAAACCTCTCACATCTTTTCAAGTCTTTTTATAGTTTCAGATTCATCGTAATATTATAGATATATTATATAATATTTTCAATCGATCCTGACAAAATTTCTTAAACAAAAAAATGCCATTGCTTTTGTTTTCAACTGATGAAACCAACCAAACTTATATTTCCAGTTTTGTACATATTTAAACTTCTATAATGACTCCACAGGTGGTCTCTGATGAATTCTTGTTTTTCAGAGCTTAACTGGAGCCTACGGTTGCTTAATTAAATTCAGTCAGCCTATTTAAGAATTGTACATCCTTTTGTATTAGGTAGAGAAAATTTCCCTTGAAACTACAGGACATGATTGTACATGCACATGTCAGGACATGGACACAAAGCTGATTTGTAGAATTGAAGATGCCCAAAAATCTTGAAATGCTGGAAGTCTCAAACCACCTGTAGGTTGTATACATCTGGATTCTGACCCGAAATCAGAGTAACAAACAATATAGAACTGAGATTCGGATTTTCTGTTTTGCTAGTGTAACCTGGCAAAAAAATATATTATTTCAGACTCCAGAAAAAGATTCCATTTATCAGATCAAACAAAGTGTTCCAAAAGAACCAAGACGGATCCTCACTTCATTCATGCTATCTAAACAGTCAAGCATGGTCATTTGCAGCATTATGCACTTACATAGTTGCTGAGAGATATTTAGTGAAAAAAAAGATGTTGGTCATTTTAAGGTAATATGAAGATTAACATTATTAATATTAAGTTAAGTTATAAACATCAGATAAGTGCGCTGGTATTTAAAAAAAAAACACTGTGTATTACAACTGTAATTAAGAACTGAGGGGAAAAATAACTCCAAAAAATAATAACCCCCTAAACAAATGGCAATTATTTCCTGCAAGATTTATCACTATTAGACATGTGTTGTATTTCATTGTTGGAAAGATAAATATATTCCACGTTGAATCTAACTCTCCATTTATTTTATTTTATTTCCCACAATTTTAAAAATATTTTCTCTACTTATCATTTCCTCTACTTTGGTTGTTTTATCCATCTGTCTTTCTTGTATTAGCTTTGTCCTCCTTTTCTAATTTTCTCCTCTCCCATCTTTCTTATTTCTCTAACCTCTGTGTTTCATTCTGAACCCCTCTTTTATCTGTTCTTACTCATCTTTCTCTTTTCCTTTTCACCAACACTGACTCACTTTCCCTTTCGTTTACTCTCATCCAACCTGCTATTTTTAATGTCATGCATCTTTCATACCTTCAATTGGTCCCCTCTTCCTTTCATCTCTCTTTTCGACCACAGACATTTCTCTTGCCTGTCCTCTAAGTACATGCTGTCAGGGATACCAGCAGTGATGAGCACCCTGCTGGCTAACATCAATGCCTTCTATGCCCACCCCACTGCCTCCACAAATGTCTCTGCTCCCGCTAGATTTGCAGCCTCTAACTTTGGGGTAAGTGTCTTCCAGTCAAAATAAAATGAACACAGCTTATCAGTTTGTGAGCCAGTCTAAACATTATTCAAAATGTGCAACAGTTAAAAGCTGAAGCGGACTCATAGGCTCTGTTTGCATATGGCATGTCTTTGGTGATCCAATCAATAGGTGGACAGCTTGAGAGTGAATCGGTAGGAGCCAACTCCTACTGATTAAGATACTTTCCCCAAACTAATAAACTTTTTACGCATTGAATATTGGTCCAAAGTTCTGCAAAAGGATGACAAATTACTGAGATATTGCCATATTTCTCATGTTGCTGCCCTTGTTTCTTTAAAACCGTTATGATACTGTTTCAAAATCCTCTATGTCTGACTTTGAAAAGTCTAGCCATAGACATCAGTGGTTATGACTTGGGTCTGAACAAGTTCTACAAATTGTACATTCTCTTGGCTGAGAACTCAAGGAGGTTGTGTGTTTGTTGTCCTGGATCCAGGCTGTATAACAGTTTCCTTCTGGGAGTCTGGTCTGGATTCTGACTTAAAAGACTCCATTTTTAGAACAGAGGAGGTGCATGTGCATACCAAGTTACAAGCTTAAAAGCTTACAAATAACATTTGTAAGCAGAGGCTTCACTAAGACTGACTCTTATAGATGAGATGAAATGAGGGGAATTTGTTATATGCAAGAAAAAGTTCAAGCTGTAAATTATTCTTTGAACTTGTAAGAGAACAGGCACCAGTACAAAATAAATTATTTACATTATAACTTCTATTGACTTACATTATATTTTGAAAAAAACTTTTGATGCATACCTTCTCACTGAATATCTTGGCAGCAGGCAGTTTATTCAAGCACACACAGTGTTTCTATAAAGACACACTGTTTCCAACTGAAGTAACTACAGACCTCCTAAAAAAGACACCATCTTTATGGTAGCATGGGTATCGCCACAAGTTCATTATTCACCTATGCATCCATTAATGCTAAAAATACAACCAATCACTGGCAGGCTTTGACCCATTATTCTTATTTACAGACTGAATAACCATAGATATGCACCTAGTAGAAGAGTTTTTCAGAAACAAATCCACTTTCTTTCTGTCTAACTGAAAACCAACTGTGTCCGAAGAACTCAATAACATGTCAATCAAGTATGCAGAGCATACTTGATTTATGGCTTTCTCTTTGTGTAATACAGTTTCAGGTTGCATGGAGAGAAAATACATTTCCAACAAGTACATTTGCGCAGGTACTCCTGTGGCAACGTATTGAATGTGATACTTTGTTTTTTTATGCATTGTAAGCCAAGATCTCAAAGGTTATTCAGCTGTTCCCAATCTTGGCCTTTACTCACTGAGATTACCCCAGACTTGCTGACTCTTGTCCCAATATTCTGCTCTGTAGATTCTTAGATGTTGAAAGACCAAAGATCTTAACAATCTCGCACTATAAAAATGATGGCGATTACTTGCTTGGAAAGACTAACCTTTGGGTTGGTGCTCTGCTTATTTCCAATCCTTAAACCATCACCTGTCAACAATTAATCAGCTAATGGTATAGTTTTGCAGAGTTGAGATTATCCTGTAAGAGAAGAGAAGTCAAGACATTCAAAATGATTTCTTTTGAAAAGATTTACAACTGCATCAAGTTGACCACACATTTTTTAGATGACCAACATGCATTATTTTGTCTTTTTTCATTTACTTATCTGTTTTTGTTTCATAGCAAAAAAACATTGCTATGAATTTGCATGTTATGTGTCATCTTTCCCTAGAAGCAGCACAACCCGCCAAACAATTAGGTGTAATGTATTGCCTTACTCTAAAATGGTTGCTTCTTTTACGATTTTGCATTTTCTTTGACACAGAACAACATAGAGCCAGCAGAAAAGTCTTCAGTCACCATCCACTTGGCAACCCTTATGCTCTGTCTCTGTCCATTTTTATGTGCAGTATGGAGCTTTTGTAGTCTCTCTCTTTCCTGTGCGGCTATTCCTCTCAGACAACCTTTGATAAACATATTTTTTGTCCTCCATACAATTTTTTGGTCTTGTCTTTGTTTCTTTAAATCTTGAACCCAATCAGTTGGAGTGTTCCTATTGCCATGATAATTAGATGCTTTTCTGATGGATACAATTTGACAGCATTTCTTTACTCGATCGTGTGACTGTCCTCTGACTCTCCTCTGAAACCCTTTATTCTTTCTGTGAAATATTCCATCACATCTACTGTCTTTTGCCCTCAATAAATAATGTCTTAGATCATGTTGTCACCCAGCAATTTTAATGTTATTGCTTTTTGCATGAAAATGCGCGTGTATGTTTGTTCACAAGAAAAGCTACAGGGATGTCATCATCTCTTTTCAGGTGAAGATACTGATGCAACTGGGATTTTTGCCAGTGGTAGCAAACATTATTGGAATTGGAAGCACTAGGCTCAGACAGTATCAAATTTTGGCAATATCTCATAACCATTTTTCACCATCATGCCACTACATTTTTCATCCACACACAGCACAGGCAAGATTGACATGAATGCCTTATTGTATCAGTTCCATGCTTTTATCTGAAACTTCTCAATAGCAGCAAACTTCAATAATTCTGCAATTGGTGATGTTTTGAATCAAATTTACTACAAAGTCAATGAATGTTAAATGCTTTAATCATGTTTGTGTTAAGATAATGTTCAAGTTGCCACATCAAAAACAGCTTTTTTGATGTGGCAACTTGAACATTATCTCTTCCAGTCTTACTATTATTCACCATTTGCTCCTTCAATGACTTTGAATGGGAAAGCCCTAAATTATTGAGTGGAGGTTTAACAGTGGTCGATACAATTACATACTGTGATCTAGCTGTAGAGGAGTATAAAATAAGGTGTGGCCACACCTGTTTGAAATGAAACTCTTTTATGATTTAAATTTCCTTCAAAATACTTTATTCATTAATTCATTAAGTAATTATTTATTTCACTTCCTGAAATTGCATTTAAATTGCAAGCTTTCACAGTGTTTCAGCTAAAAATTTTAAAAAATCTAATATGACGTATTCACAAACAGATCCACTGTATTTGTAACGTAAGGACAACTGTTTATTTAATTTCTTTTGCACCACTTAATTTAATTTCGAAAGTTCACAGCTCTTCAATATTTTCTGTTTCCACTTAAAGCATCAGTACATGTTCATTCAAGCCCTGAAATAAAGTATACTGAAAAGTGACAAAACTAAATGCTAAATTTAGCTAAATCATCCAAACTTTAGTATGCATAACTCGAGAGTTACCCATTACTTTATGGTGGTTTTTAAGGTATTAAATGTAATATATAAAATATAATTTAGCTAGCTCAATTATTTCAAATTATCTTGGGCTCGCTCTTTCTATGTTTTTTAAAATGAGGATCTAATTCTAGCCACATTCTCTACACATAGATTTAAGAGTACTACGAACCAATTAGATTTTTTAACTCACAAAGAGAGCTATTCAGGTTATAAAAGGTTACTAGCCATCTCGTAAGAGTTTGGACTTCACAGGAAGTGAGGCAGATGTATATAAAATAAAACTAGAAAATTTCTGAAGAAATTTTGGAGGGGGGCCACCCGCTGCCCGTCCGGGAACAGGTCGGCCAATCGATATTTGGGCTCTCTGTAATGTGGGCTCGCGCCTATGAGAGGGCCTG